AAGCGTCAGGCGTCTGGCACTGTGTGGAAGACTGGTCGTTTGGAAACGTGACCGAAAATGAAGGCGAGTACGACTACAGCATGGCAGCGATGTTTCTTCAGTACTTTGTTCCTTTCATGGTTCTGTCCCTCACTTATGCAGGCATTGGACTTAAAATTTGGTTCGCTCGGATTCCTGGCGATGCGTCCGGTAGACCGAGTCAAGACAGGAAGCTGATTGTAAAAAAGGTAAGCGTAGTATTTATTGCTTTAGTTCGTTGTTTGCTTGAAACGTTGCATAAACTGGCTTTTCTTTGTTCAGAGCATAGGCAGTGTGAAGGCAAACTTTGAACATGTTCATTTTTGAAGTGAATACAATTCTTCACCCTTATTCCTCTGTTCCAACTGAAACATTTTAATTTATCTGATTTGAAGTAAATACGCACAAACATCTGTCAGCATTGCAGAACCATTTCCTCTCTAATTCACTTTTGCGTCGACCTTTTTGGCAACCGGGGTGCAACTGTGGAAGTACTTGGTTGGAATCCCTAAAAAAATTTCTCTCAACTTTCTTATTATCCAATAGTTACTTCGCTGCAGCTAGTCGAGAGGTAAGAAGGAAGTCGTTGACTTGCAAACAGCTGGCTCACCATAGTGTTGTGATATAAGTGTTTTTGAAAGCTCTAATTCACCTTGACCTACCTGATAGCTGACTGATTAGCGGGATGAGTAGCATAAGGTGCAAACCCCGTTGTTTACAGCAGAAACTACTTTATATCTTATCACTCGCCGTCACCAATTTCATTTTTTGCCTTAGTCATTCTTTGGATTTTTTGAATAGGTAGGTAGCTATTTAAATTATTAGTAGCTAGCTAATATAGGTGTTCAGCTTGATTTTGAATTTGTTCAGATCCATGTGGGTGATTTAGTTTTCGATTCACCACGTCAGTGCAGTAATCAGACGGTATGTAAATGGAACGTGTGATCTCAAAAGGCAGAAGAGCAAATCGCGATGACCTGAACAAGAATCACGATTGTTTCTTTTACTGACACCGATGGACGAGAAATATTTCCGAAAAAAATATGAGGATCTTATTTCGGTCAGAATGACCATTGAAGCAAAGCAGGTCTGAATGAAGAGCTGAGTAAGCATTGGAACCGCCGCATTCAAGCATGCTGGTCAAATTGAGTCCATCATTTCTTGCATATCATTCTATGTTCAAATGGCAGACTGCATCTGAAAACCATAACGTGTTCTGGTCATAATGCTTCTACATGTTTAGATGATTCCTACGATGTTCATCGTCACAACTGTCTACACGATCTGCTGGCTACCTATTAATGTTTTCAACATCTACCGAAGTTTGAAGCCTGAGGTAAATGAACACCCTTTCGTACTGTACATATGGTGGGGCTGTCACACAATTGCCATGTCGCACTGTTTGGTCAACCCGATCATCTACGTGCGCCGAAACCGTCGTTTTCGCAACGGTTTTTGCTTCGTCTTCCGCTGGATCCCCGGCATTCGGTACGATGAGTGTACGTCGACGGCACTTGGGAAATCCGGAACTGTACGCGGAGTCCAACAGATCAGTCCGTGCCTGCTGATTCACAATAAACACAAAAACTTCGACGAAGAATCATAGCCCTCAGTATGCTTGACCGTTGTGCACTAATCGAATCTGGGAAACTCTATTTTGTACAGGTTTGGCGTGAAGGCTGCCGGCAAAGTGTGTCGGTGATGGTCCTTCTTCTAAAATTACTGAACGTTCTCTGACAAGCATGAAGATAATATTGCCATGTTGTCAGAAATGTTAACGTAAAACAGTATACGTAAAACTAACCAAACAAACATAACTTTGCTATTAACTACGTTTTTGATGGAACATGCTCTTGATGAATGTCGACTGCAAATGCAATAGCTTTGCCTCAGATTCAGAGAGGACAGACGATCTGAGAAACTATTCAAACTTAAATTTTATTTCCTAAATTGTACGCCACAAGCATCCACTTTTCTCAGTAGTTATTCAATAATCATAAGGAAATAAAACAGCATCAGAAAGCCTGTCTTTTACAGATAAGTGACGAAAACGTGCTCGATACGTAATGCATCGCCCTTCTGATGCTTCACTTTCAAGGGTGGCGGTACCACATGGATCAGAGGACCGGCATTTTCTGGCTCTATGAAGCAGGACATCGCCGCCAAGGGGCAGATTGTAGGTTTAGCACTCGAACGAGTGCAGCCGTCCTCCCTTCTGCATCAGAGATTGCCAAGCGAGCCATCAATCAGTGGAAATTCCGCATGAAACTAAAATCCTCACTTCAGCGCGGTAGATGCTGGTCATGGATTTCATTTGTTTACGGTAATTGTCAAGGTCACTGGGGTTTAAAAAATAACATGAACGAATGAGTGATGAAATATTCGAATCGCGCGTAAATCATACTGAAAAATGGCATGAAAATGGTTTACTTTCTACATAACTCAAAAAATGGCCAATCACGTGATTGAACGATAGCGATTTTTTTACTCACGTTCAGCAGGTCTTCCTCGTGGTCAAGTTGCACTTAAAGTTCGCACAGAGTCCCGGTCGTCTGGAGCTTGTCGCAACTTCGCTACGGAGAATCGACCGAGAGCGATGAATGCGTGAAAAAAAAGAAGGAGTGATTGTGTACGAATGATGAAGCGAGACGATTGAGCGAATGAATAAATGAATGCGTGAAAAATGAACAACTAAATGAATATGCAAATGAATAAGTGAATGATGGACTTAGTTAATTAATTACATGAACGGGCGGAGAGGACATACATCAGATTATGAACTGAAAGATCGTTACGCATTTTGGCTAACAAAAACTGACCACCTGACGAAAATACGAGCTCGTTTACTTCAAGTGCTGGCTGGAATGTCATCGATCAACTTGTTCGAAAGAAGTAATGGAACAAAGAGAGCTGTCAGTCAAATGTTAAATGACAGCTTTTCATGCCATCGTGCTGTTTTTCGTTTGTATATTATTATCATCGAAACACGTCGGTAAATGCAGAATTTCACATCGTTCAATTTAATTATTGCCTTGCCTCAGAACGCGAAACCCATCGACAATTATTCAAACAGGCAAGGAATCGATACCTCCCTCCGTACCTAATAATGAATCAAATTAAGGGCGTAAAATAATTTCAATTTTGAACTGGCCACACTGTTAGCCTTATCAATAACCATGCGTAACTCTGATAGTGATGATTCTACCTTTGATACAGGTAGGATGTAGAATAGAAAAGTCATTGATTTCAATCACGGCAAGGTCACTACTAGTTCTTCCAACTGTGGAGGCTAAACGAATTTTACTTTTCAGAAAGGAAGCATAAAATTAATCGTTGTAATGACCACCAACTTCTAGATGTTGCCTTTATTCTATTACCTGAGTGTGCAGGCTAATTTGATTGTCACTGGGAGATTTTGGGAAGATATGTGAGAGGGCTGAAATCGTAAGAACGCCTACAGAGATCACGGTTTGAAAGCATCTGTGTTTCAGGCGCTCAGCTACTGCTTAAAGACATCAGTGACCATGAAAAATTATGAATTGTATCTTGAGAGGTTTCCGGAAATGCTGTCTGCAGCAAAGCATCCTCAAAAGTGCCACATTGTCCGTGAGTCTTGAGTGAGCAGGTGCTGACAACCGGTTGTCTGATAAAACTATCAGATAAATTATAAAGCAGGTGCCTTGATTTAGATAGATAGGTGGTTGAACGATATTCCGGTTCAGGGAACAAAACATATCAGATGGCAAGGCTGTTATTTCCGACGCGTTTCATTGCATTGACCGTGGCATCACCAAGGCTGAACTGAGCAAAAATGGTTGCTTGAAGGCACTTATGTCTAACAAGTGAACATTGCCGTGTTTTCTAAGAGGCCTACACGTAAAGACAAGTCAGTTGTTAAACGGCTTGATTAAAATGACCAACGTTTGTAATGTCAAGTTCACATTTGCAGCAAGCAATCGGATCTTTGTTATGTTGATCCGATCTTGTGTAGCAAACGAATTACTGTACCCCAGATTTCATTAATAATTACGGAAGATGTGTATTCGTTGTACGTCCGGTTTTTCATTGCCAGCATATGCAGTGACTCCTTTATAAGTAAACCTTCTGTTTTCTTTTAAGTAGACCTTCTCTAGAACGATAGACACTAGTCTGACTGAAAGGTGTGCTTCACACGTGGCATGCTGGACAGTACGGAACTGTAAGTTTGCCCGAAGCAGACCGCATATATGTGCTTTTTGATTCGAATATTCAGTTTCAGGTAGGTTTTTTTAACGTAAGCCTTGTTGCGGACTCTGCCCTGAATCCAGTAAACGACATTTAATGTTTCTTCCGGGTTAATGGGTATATATTTCTTGAATAAATTATTGCCAAATGTTCCGCCAGTCTTGTAGTAGAGTTTAAATCCCATTTCATTAATGTTTCTCTTGACGGGTTGAGATACTTGGGGTAGGAACAGTAAAATTGCCATTCGTTTATATGGAGAAAACATTTTTGCGTTCACACTGGAGTGTAAAAAGTTCTTGGTCGAGTATTCGCCCTTGATAACCATTCTTTAGTAGCGTTTGGCAGGGATGTTGAATCTCAGCGTCAAGGCCATAAGTGATACAGCAGGCTTACTGGACTCTCAAACGCATATTCCTCACAACACCTTGTTATGCAAACCAGGAAAAATACGTGACGTCAGCTGCAGGTGTCGATTTGAGTGGGTTGGTTAAATGGAAACCTCAAATTCAGGTGGTGTCCTCTTCAGCAACTCGTCCGGAAAAAATATAGAGTGGTTCACCTCAGCCTCCGCGGTAAAGCGCATTCGGCCATTGCCATCTTGTCGATTCATGTAATTAACTAAGCATTGTAACCTTCTCAGTTCTTCCTTGTTTTGTTAGAAATGTAGGAAAATATCATCAGCGAATCGGACATTCGGTCATTAATTAAGGAATTTTGCTTACGGTGATCTATGTTAAGATCAGCAAATCAGGGCTCAATGGGGAGCTCTTGGGAATGCCCTATGTCTGGTGGTTGTTGGCGAATTCGAAATTGCTGCTATTCATCACAGGACGAAAATTGTCATCAAATCTTCAGCGCTGGAATTTTCAGCATGCTTTGTGATGTTCTCCACTCATTTGTCTTATTCGTCAAAACTGGGAAGATATTAGCAATGTTTTTGAGAGGGAATGACATATAGGGAAGCCATGAAGCAGTATTGTTGATCCTGTTCTTTCAATCTGGACAGAAGCCCATTTCTGTCTTTCCCTCTGTAATCCATCCTCTCAGCGACAGATTACAGTAACAAATAAAGTTCCTTGGTATTCTGACATGTGCTGCTCCACTAGACCATATGACAACCCGAAACGGTTTGCCAGTCTTATGGAAATTCACTAATCCATTGGAAATTCACTAATCCATGAGACGGTGAAGTCACTCAGGAGCTAAGGTAGACAGAATCTTTTTGTTCGGCAGATTTTCAAGAGCTCGCAGCAGCTTATGCTAGTCGAGTACCTTGTCAGGAATGGCATTACTTCGGATTTTAGTGTACACGTCACCATTCATGAAGTGTTGCAACATTTTCGCTGCATATTCCTCCAGAGGCATCACAGGTGCCTTGATTGATTTGCTGCAATGACCGAAAAAGTAGGACGCGTTTTCCAACTGTTTCTGTTACAGATTGGCCGCAGACACTTTTGAGGACGAAACCAAATATGAGAACTTTCGCTTAAGCAGATTTCCTTGCGATGGGAGCTATGCCCTTTTCGCAAACAGCGAATGTTCTTATGGTCAATCAGCAATACCATTTCTAATGGTCGAGAATTTTTTATTGCTCCATTGTGCTGTTTGAACTTTGTTAACTTACATGGAGATGATGTTACCAAGAACAATTCAGAAATTTAATGGTGAAGATCCTTTCTACAGTAAACACTGTAGCACGGATGAAAACCGCAATTCTGATATCCTTTGGTCCATTGACCAAGTGAACAACTTAATGCTCAATGTAGTTAAAAATTGTTCTTATACACTCCCTCGGTGAAAACTGATGGCTCAGAGCTGAGTTATTAGGAAAACGCTTGCGGTTCACTACTTTACCTCAATGCTTACCTTACAGTATCGTGGTCATACAAATCAGCTAATGAGTCAGTTTTTAAAAATTCCATAAACAAGCAGATAAAAACGTGTTTGCAAGTCCATTAAATGATATTCATTTGACTTTCGACGAAGAGACGCACTGATCATATAAAAAATTATTCCGGTATCAAAATACGGATCAGACAGTTGAACGCAGCGGAAATTGCATGAAATTTGACGTTTCGCCGGTGAACAAAAACATCAGCAGTATTATCAGTGACTAAATTCGAATGTATGATTTCCGTAAAAATATTAAGACCTCCTAGAAACTTTTGGTTTATAAGAATGCCTATTTAACAGCACTATAGACGTGTGAAAGAACAGTGCTGTAAGTGGTCATTTTTGTGGTGTTGGTTGTTGATGTTATTTGTTTGATTTTTTGTGATGTTCTCTTGGTGGCATCTCAATAAACATCATCGCAATCTCGTCCCATCAGCGGACTTATAACTCGTGATCCGTGACCGCTTTTCCAGTATAAATTTTCTTCAT